CACTACCACTACGTCCTACTTCTACTTTCTACTTTCTGCTTTCTACTTCTAGTTCTACTTCTACTTCTTCTTCTACTACTACTACTACTACTCCTACTGCTACTGCTACTGCTACTGCTACTGCTACTACTCCTGCTGCTGCTGCTGCTGCCACTACTGCTACTACTGCTACTACTGCTACTACTGCTACTACCACTACTGCTACTACTGCTACTACTACTACTACTACTACTACCACTGCTACTACTACCACTACTACTACCACTATTAGCAGGGCTACGACTACGACTACGACTACTTTTACTACTGCTACTACCGCTACTACTGCCACTACTACTGCTACGACGACCACCACCACCACCACCCACTGCTTACTACTTACTACTTACTTCTTGCGTCTTCCTTCTTACTTCTTCTTCTTCCTACTACTGCTACTACTACTACTACTACTACTAGTACTACTGCTTCTGCTGCTGCTTCCACGACTACGACGACGATGACTACTACTGCCACTACTAGTATTATAGCTGCAGCTTCAGTCGATGGCATGACATTCAGCTCAACATCGGACTCAAGCGGCTTTCTGACAGGAGCTGGCGCAACTCCTGCAGTGGCTTGTCTCCGAGGCGAGGCTTGGTCTTTGTCACAATTTCCCCCTTGGCCGGCGACGCTGCTCACCCGGTCACTGGGCACACTGATGTCTGGCGCCACCACCAACTGAAAACCCGTTGGGCCTCTGAAGTCTGCTGTCTAAAGATGCGCTCAGAAGTGTCTGTGTCTGGTGCCCCCACCACATCGGAATGCATGGGAAAAGGCGGACGGCGAGTTGAGGCCATCTCAGAACAGCCTGTGGCACTGCAGAAAATCTGCCGATCTTCAATAGGGTCCCGTCGTCATTTTCTCCGAAAGATCCTGAACCTCTAGGCTACGGATGCTCTGCAGCAAGCAGTGCGAGCAATGCTTCCCCTGATGAAGCTTTCGGGTGCTGATGAAGTTCTCCCGCAGCCATTCGACAGTGGCTGCAGGGACAGATGCTTTCGTTTTGCGAATACGACCGCCAGGCATGGGGAGGTGGGTCTGGGCCACCCAGTGTGCTGGACCTTCATGCAGAGACCCTCTCCTACAAGGAGAAGGGTTTAAGTGAAATGGGGCTAGAAGATATGAGGCATACATGAGCACATGAACGAGAAGACGAAGAACCTTGCCACTCTTTCTTCCAAAAGCTTCGACCATCAAGGAGCCCTCGTCGTGGTGATGAGTAGAAACTTGGATTCTTTCCGGCATCGGACTACACAACTGCGCTGTTCGAAGTGCAAAGCTTCCACCTGAATTATTTGAACCAGAACCTCCCCATTTTTGAGTGTAGGAGGTCTGCTCGAAATCAGTCGGCCGACGGGATTCAACAATCAAAGCATGGAGGGTTTAGGGATGCTTAAGGTGGAAGTGTGAACTGTGCGCAGCTTAGCCTGCTAGCATGTTGCACAATTTAGTCACAGCATGAAAAGCGAGCATTGGCCGTGCTTGAAGCAGGATAAGTTCGTGAACCTTACGATGTTCATGGAGTTCAAGTCCCTGAAGTTTACACAGAAGCAGGTCGAGGCTGGTTGCCACTGAATTCAGGACAAGCTGCGAACTTCGTGGCGAGCGAGCAGGGAAGTCGCTGTACCTGATCACCGATAAGCCTTTTTATATATGCCAGTTAATAGCAGAACATGGAGTCTGACAGGTCCCTCCGTTTGATCGATGGACGGAGCACTAGAACATAATAGAACAGACACCGTGCATAGCAAGTAGCTGAGCCAGGCTAGCATTCCTGCTGGAAATACTAGAGCCTCTTGTCGTCACCGTCATCATTGATGTAACGTGTTGTAACTCCATGCCTTCCGGTGGCAGCCCAGACGGTACATAGCTGCAGCACACTCGTGTCAGGCCTATCGCTCTGTGCGGCAGGCTCTTCGGGAACAACTATCCCGGAAGCTTGGCAATGCACACAGTGAGCTCTCCAGAGCTCAGGCAGAGAGACAGCCATCACGTTTTGGGTTTGAAACTAGAGAGTGTGTGAGATCGTCAACTCCTCGCAGATGCATGTCAGATGAGCCGAATGTCCCTGGGTTTCGTTTGTTGACTGAGTGTCCCCCAGGCTTTTCGGAGTACCTCTGGAAGGGCTTCAGTCGCTTGGACCTGTTCCGAGCAGGTCATTCTGCACGGTGCCATTTGTGGTGTAAAGTGGACAGCAGCTGAGCAGCTGCGACAGATTTTTCTCAAGCTCTTGTTGCATAGCGAGCGAGGCATGACATGACCTTCTTCTCCCACATCAACGCCAGCAAAACTGCTCAGACGGTGCATGATCAATACTGGCACTCCCATATTGCAGCTGGGATAATTTCAGTCATGCCAGCAGCGCGACGATTGTCCGGCAGCTAGAATTTATGTTCTGCACCAAGGACACGGAGCAATATGGCACTTTCGCCTACACAGTCCTGCTGTACCTTAACACGGGAGCCCAGGACGCACGGGGAGACGCTTGAAGTAATGGTTCGGCAAAGCAGTGCGGACAATCATTGGAGCGCGACTTGCAGACAAACGGATTGCGTGCCGGCACAGCCAAGACAGGACTTCGATGGTGGCGAGTTTATCTTCGAGGATCTGGCTGTGCACTCCCCGAGTCATCCCGACCCTTTAACATCCTCTGACACAAACTCACTGATTTGACAGGAGTCAAGGGGCGAGGGCTTCAGGGTGCCTGCGGCAGCTGTGGAGCCACGTGCGGGTCGCATCGTGGCCTTCAGCAGTGACGCAGAGAACCCGCACAAGGTGGGTCTTCGAATTGGGTCTCATGTGTTGGGCAACTCACTTCTCCGTCGTGCTCGCGGTTCGGCATAATTACGGGCCAGGCTTCTAACAACCGCTCAGGTTCAGAGTGGAGGGGTGACAATGGCAGTCATGCAGCTGGCTGTTGGATTCTGCAGGTCCTGGCTGTGTCCAGAGGTGTTCGCATGGCTCTGACTGCAGCCTTCACTTGCAGCCAAGAGCAGGTGACTGGGCAGCCCAGGTTTTCGCGAGTTGTCTTGTTTGTTCTTGAAGTCAGAGTCTATAGTCACTCTGTGGATCCCTGTGGAATCGTGCTGCGACAATTCACCGGGGTGCGACCACTACGGAATCGTAAAGTTCGTGCCGGAGCAGTCATTCACGCTTTCTAAGGCCATGGCGATCCAAAGCTTTCCGAATCCTGCGATGGTAGAGGATTCTGGCACTGCAGCTCAGTAGCGTCACAGGCATGAAAAAAGTGTGTCCAAACTTATGTTTGTCAGCTTGTTGGCCTGCAAGCTAGCCAGACCATCTGTGGGCTGTCGCCAGTCCTCTTGTCCGAAATTCCAAGTAGAGGTTGCGTGCCAGCGCAGGCACCAAGCTTCGAGCCGGAAGGCTTCGACCATCAATCCAGAAGAATCGACGGGATGATTCGGGTGTATCCAGAAAGGACAAGACTGATGACCTTAGGATTGAACGCACAGAGAGCCATGGAGTCTTGGCCTGGCATTGGTGAAGCTGCAGCAGTTGGCAGCTGGCCCGCCACCACGCATAGCCACATGGCAGGCATGGACATCGAAATCAAGTTTAATGTTGTCATGACTGCTGTGAGGGTAGTTGGTGATGATGGTCTCGACTGTATCGATGTCGCTCGTGCTGTTAACCGTGGAATGCCGTTGCCAGTGTTGGAGGGTTGACTGGCGCAGCCACTCACTCACTCACACGCTCAACGGAGGGAAGTCTACGAGTCTTGCCCGAAATTGAAAGCCCTCTGAGAACAGCCAAAACGCGTGAGAAGCGAGCTACAGCGCGAGTACAGCCCACCGGCCACAACGGCAGAACGCCCCATATGCATAGCCCATACGGCACCAGCACATGGTGCGCCTGCCGCTTCGCAACCGTGACAGCCTGCACAAGCATCCACAATTTAGCTTCACCCACTTCCAGTAATGCCGTTGACCTCATCAAGGAACCGCTGTAACTGGCGCTCAAGGTCGCCTGCTGGAGCCACTCCAGGCAACTCTCGCACGTCCTTGTCGCGCTTCAAGTCCTCTTTGATGATCCGCCAAACCTCGTCGGACGGAGACTGGTTCATGATGTTGATCTCCAGACGCTTGAGCTCCGCTTTGAAGTTCCTCTGAATTCGAGCGTACTTGCCCGCATACTCCTTGAGAGTCACCAGCGCAGTCTGAAGCCTAGGATTCAGATTGGGTCCAGGGTCGCTCTTTCTTGCCTATGCATAAAAACTATGTGTAACTTTCGTCCCAGGCCAAGGAAAGACCCTCGTGGAGCCTTGGGGGCCCTGGCCCCCCGACACCGAGGCCGTGGGCACAAAATCGCTTCGCGTGCCCTGGGCACCTTGCGCCCTTCCTTCTGCCATGTCAGGATTCCTGGGTCCCGGCTTGGCCATCAGCTTTGAAGGACCTCTGGTTGTGAAATGTCGAGCCAAAGGTCAAGAAGGCTTCTGACATTTCTAACCTTCTCGAGGACGCATGCACTGCAACAGATCCAGAGGAGGAGCATTTGCAAGCAGACCTCAGTGAGGCACGGGTGGGAGAATTCCGTGTGTGTCCAGCATGTCAGAAAGTGAAGCGGTTTGCCAAAGCACCATGTGCATCAGTCTTGCAAGATATATGATGATGCTATGCGCTTTGTCATGTTGTTTTGCTGCTCACAGACTGTCAGACGTAATAAGTCAGGCAGCATTTTTTTTTTTGGGCGGGGGGCGGTACAGGACTGTGACAGCGACTGGGCTGCGGCGATCCGGGCTGCACTGCCCGAGCCAGAGGGCGGATTCCCAAGCGAGGCGGGGCAGGGATGGTTCGCTGTTCTGCCGTCGCTACTTAGTTGATAGACAGGGGTAACTTCAAGCTTCTAGCTGTGTTCCTGGCTGCTCTAAGCAGCTTGCAGGGGCTTGCTCTCATCAGTGCGACATATGATACGGCCTACAGTAGTGTCGTAGAGTCCTTCTAGTTGGACATTCCACCTTGGCCGAGGCCTTCTCATCTTACTCACCGACGGCATGTCCAGACTCCGGTACAAGCCAGGACGCAGACAATCACGCCAGGTTTGGAACCTGTGTGCGACTCGACGAGGCTGCCAGTATTCCCGTTGTTGTCACAAGGCAGCTATCCCCAAGATTGGTCTTGAATAAACGATAGTAAACGTATGTGATCTTCTCCGGCCGTTGCAAGCGAAGTCAGGAGGAGTATCTGGCGAAGCTCGAGCAGCGTTTGGATAGCTTGCGCCGTGTGCCAAAGCGGAGCGCAGTTCCCTGGCGCGAAGGTCGTGACAGAGGTCAAAAGTCAAATTGTTCTGCCAGAGGACGAGCCCTCCACGATAGAAGCCGAGTGCAGCTAAGGTCATCAAGCTTTCCGACTTCTCGGTCTCGGAACACAAGCTGCACTGGCCTTCAGAGGAGCCGTCAGTTTCAGGCCCCGGGAAGATCACAAGACTATGTTATGCGCGGCCACGCATAGTATGAACGTGTACTGTGAACGGCAGTCTCTCACAGCGTCACAGCACACCTCTCTGCGAAGAAGCAGGGCTTCATGAACTTTAATCAAGCTGCCCCTGTGAAAGTGGGCGCTCATCAAGTAAAGCGCACGGACCATACTCGTATCCATAGCCAAAACAAGCCATGTCTACTGGTAGCCGTGGATGGCAGTGTCAAAGTGCCAGGCTGGCCTCCCGATGTGTCGGGTGTTGAAAGTGCTCCACTCCTGGAGTACAGTCTCGATCCTGCCTGGCCCTGACATGCCCTGACTTTTGCTGGTATCGGTGAAGTGTGCTGTTGCGGCCTGGGCCTAAACTTTCGAGCTCGCCTGCTTGCGAGCCAAAAGTCTGCGGTGCAAGTCTTCTACTCCCTCAAGTCAAGAAAGAGAGCTGAGTTGAACCTTGCTGCAGAGTTTTCGGACCTCTGTCGGCAGTGAGCATGAACACGTGGGCTGCGCCACTTCCGTCTCAAGCGTACCATGTGTAAGCAAGTGTTCACTTTACCAGCCGTTGACAGTTCTCACCCTGCTTCGAACTTGTTCTGAACCTTCAGTACGACCAACCCAGCCAAGAAGATTGAGAACTGGCGCTCCGCGGCGCACGACGCATCACTCGCGATGCAGCGTGCCAGTGACTGGAGCCAGGCATCTTGCATCATGCAGCCCAGCAATACAACAATCGGTGTGTTTTCCTGTGTGGCTCTGTAGAGTTTCTTCAGGAATCTAGGCGCTTGGAAAATCTCAGGGGTCTATTATTGCTTAAACAAGAGGCCAGGGAGAGTGCGGTTCATTGCTGGAAGCTAGACCGACATCCGAGACAGACGAGACACATATGATAATATGCGTACAAACGTATGTGACTGTATATTTGTTGCATTTATGTGATTATGTACCAGTAAATTTGCACTCTTGCCTGCAAGTTACGTGTAGACATGGACAGACACAGGCAGATAGCAACAGAGACAGGGGTACGGAGACTCAGACAGAGAGAGACAGACCCTCAGACTGACGGAGCCCACCCATCCGCATAGATGGCAGATGCCAGCTGCTTGCTGCGACAGTTCGACTGCAGGAATGGCAACTGAGAGTGCGCAGCAAGGTTCGGCCCAGGCAACGGAAAGCATGGGATGCCAGTGGACGTGTTTGCACACTGCCCGTGTGTTGCTGTTGTGCTGGCAGACCTTCGACGCTGGACGCTTTGGTCGCTGGCTGCGCATGATGCGGAAGCCTCAAGACATGCGGTGAGTTTTGCACCATCTGCATACTGAAGCCGCAGAGAGCCACTACTTCCCCAAGCCCCGCTTTCGTCTACTGCCGAGCCTACAGACAAACGTTCTAAATCTGTCTAACCAGTCTGAGAGATTTTGTTGACGAAGCATCTCTTTGTCGTGCCGAGGTTGGTATCCTTCTATACCGATGAAGAAGCAGCGGTGGCCGATGCGTTGTACCCCCGGGGATTACATCCATGGAGATCTATGGCTATGAAGGGGTGAGAGACGACTGGGATAGCGGTTGTGTTGCAACCGACCTCCTGAGTTTTTTTGACGATGTCCTCATATAGCGTCGCTTGCAGTCTGGACAGTCAGGGTCCAGGGTCAGGGACAGCCGGCAGGGATTCATGCTTGTGCGGCCCCGTGACTGCACTGTGCAGATTCTTTTGGACATTTTTGCACACGTATGAATATGGCTCAAGCTGCCCCGTGCTTTTGGTTCCTGTCAGAGCAGCGGTCCTTCAAGCTGCTGGCTGCACCTGGGCCGGATTCTTGATTCGGCTTCCAATCGAAGGGGTTTTGCAGGTCCGAGCCTGTGAACTGGTGCAACAAAGATGAACAGGACACCGCCAGTAGCTGCAGGTCCATCACCATGTCCGGAGGCTACACCAATGGTAGCGCTGAGGGAAGACGCCTCCCGATTGAAACTATCGAGAGGGGCTTGTCTTGCTCCCAGCGCGGTTTACCAGGCAAAGGTCGTCAGGATAATTCAGACCTTCAGATAGAATGTCCAATGTGGGCATGCGAGGCGAGTACGACCACCCCATCGTCATTCTGGGTGGTGGCATGGGCGGCCTCATGACGGCCGTGGACTTTCTGAGGCGTCGGGTAAAATTGAATGTAGTGTTTATTCCGCTTCTGGCCTCAAGAAAAGGTGCAAGGGATATCGAGATGCGTTTCGTGGCGTTTGACACATCGCAGGCAGAACCGCAAAGACTTTATCATCTTGGAGCGTGACTTGGCTGTCTTGGTGAGTGACGGCCGACTGGCTCCAATGAAAAAGTAGGATGACACAGATATACACAGATGAACTCGTGTGCTCCATCGAGCTGCGCGCAGGGAATGAACATGTTGCAGACGTTGAGTTCACTGCCGTTGCTGAATCAATTCTCCCTTTTTGCCTTGGCAAGTCACATGAAAGAGCACAGGGACTTGGAGAAGTCCTTACTCCTGCTTTGCCAGCTTCAAAGCATCAGAACCAGTCCTTCGCTTCACCGCCATGCTGCTGACCAAGCCTTGAACTCTGCTGTATGCCAAGCACACCACAAGTGCCAGGTTACGATGCCTTTGGTGGTACGACCTGGCGGGATGTGGCCAATGAAACCACCAAGTTGCAGACCGAGAAGGCTCACCGTCCATAATTTATGATCCGTGTAATTTTGAGGCGAACTTGCAGGCATCTGTGCTCCGATCGCCGATGTCAACGTTGGTGGGCTTTGTTGATTGAATCAAGACGGATCGGTGTGTTATGATCAAGCGAGCCCTCCCCGAAGATCTTTGCACCGATCTGCCGCAGGGAACTTATGTTCCGGAGTATTTGGACCCCGAAGTGCATGCAGATGAGGACCCGGAAGTGAGGCTTCTGTGGTGCAGCCACGGTTCTAGACTGATCGCTTGAAGAGTGGGGTGGACGAGGACCAGAAGACCTGGCCTTCGCGCGACAGCATCCTGGACATGTGCGTTGCTTGTGCGGAGAAGCACGGCCTGGAGGACAAGGCCAAGCTCCTTGGTCTGAAAAGCTCTGGGCAGAGCGACGAGCATCTGAGATTTCAAGCGCAGCCAGCCCTGGTTCTTGATAGGATTTACACAGATTGAGTATCAAGATGCATCAAGAAGCTGGACAGCCTGGTATAACCACCCAGAATCAGGTTCTCACTTGCTGCATTGCAACAAGTTCTTGCATCAAGTTTTTTTTTCCACATGGGGTACTTGTATGCGTGCAATACACATCTACGCTGAATCTACACATTAACGGCGAACGCTAGTCCCTGCAAGCCAGTCTCCGCGCCGGGACATGAATGAACCTCAGGTTCAACACGTCTCTCGAGAAGGTCGAGGTTAAGGGTGACCTCCTTGCCGGCGGACACATTGACACTGAGATGTCCAGTAGTTGACCTCATTCTGTAGGCTTTTAAGTAGCCGACAATAGCAGATTTGGCAGGTCTTGCTCGGTACTTGTGCCCAAACATCCAAAGCCGAAAATTGCAAGCATCGGGATCACAAAACCTGTGGGCCACTTTTTTTCATGGGGCTTGTTCCCTATCTGGGCTGTTCCTATGTAACAACGAATCGGATCCGGGCTTCAATCGCTGATTCTAGGCCGACATTGCCCGATGTAGGTGCAGCATGTCTGAGCAGCACGAGAAGACTGTGAGTGCGGTCCATTGGAGTTTGGGCAAGTGCAGTCAACTGAGGAACTGAGCATCACTACCGAAGACTCCTCGGAAACCCTGAAGTGCTCCGCGCTGGTGTCCTGCCCAGGCGCAAAGCTCAGTTCCTTTCGAAAACGCACTGGCCACTGCATTGGCTTATTGTTGAAAGTGTTTTGCGGCCCGATTGTTCAGATGTCGCTGCTGTAGACTGTTGTGGCACCGTGTGGCGTGTTTTTGTTGGTGCACGTTGCCATGCAGGTGTGTTCTACAATCCTATCGACCTGAAATGGCCGGGTCGCGAGGAGTTTGGCGGCTTCTTGGCTCAGAGAATTAACGTTGCCTTGCTCCGAGCCTGGCCCTTGATCCAAACCAGGTTACATCACCCATGGCTCGTACGATGGCATCAACTACGACAAGCTGAAAGACGCAACCGTATGTAACTTAGCTGAGCTCACGCCAAGTCAAGTCGGCCCAGTCCGTCGGAGCCGATGTCGAAGCCTGTAACGGAATAGCAGATGCCACGACAAAACCCCCTTTTTTTCCACCTTGCCTGCAGGCATTGTAGGCCACGGAGGCTTCACCATCGAGAACGTCCGCACCTGCGTGGAGCGAAAGTCAAAGAAGATTTACATTGTTTGTCGGCATCGTCACTTGGCTGGACCCAAGATGGTCTCCTGGATGGTCAGTGGTGCTGCTGTTCCGATTCCGGGACCGTTCATCGTCGAAGCCTTCCAGAAGATGTATGATCCTTGTTACGTTGTGGAAGTACAATTTTCGCGGCATTGCTATGCGTTATTTCTCAAATTTGCCTTAAGCGCCGCATCCCAAGTCTAGACTCCACATCTGAGGGTCTGCTGGGAGTTGACGTTTGGAGTCATCCAGTCGTGAACGCCAATGCCGATCGATCCAGTGCCGTCTTGACTCAGACGACAACTTTCGGCGTGACAGACATCTACTTTCTTGCGTGCTACTACAAGGTGTGGGTCCAAGTAAAGGACTGAGAGGGAGCAGTCTCTCAGGGTCTATTCAGAGTCTAATTGCTGCTTGAGCTGGAAGGTGTTTAAGCGTCACTGTACCCCGCGAACCTCGTCATTCTTTCTTTTGTGTAGGAACTAGGCTGTGCTTTGTGCCGTCTGCGGAGCTGGAATCTCAAGCTGGTGCATGCTTTGCACCCTGCCAAGGTGTGCGAGGTTGTCCACGGTGAGATTGACAAGCTCAGCAAAGGTGAGAGCTTCGAGTACGGGCGAAGTGTAGATGTGAGACGGTATTCGCGTGGTGCAGTCCCGCCCGGCAGGCAAGGTCCACCTCAAGGACGGCAAGGAGTTGGAGTGCAATGCCCCTTGCGCTTACTTGGGTTCAGGGTCGATCAGCGGCTCATGGCCCAAGGCAGGGGGAGGAGAGAGATGTTCGAAGTGGTCATGCAAGTTTTGGACAGGCAAAGGCCTGTGGCTCTAATCCGCCGATTCAAAAGGATCATAATCATAGCTGTAAACGTGTAGGGATGTGTAGGACGCTTGATGTCTAAACCGTCTAAACCCTGCTTGCATAGGCAGCAGATGGTTTGGTACAGCATGCTTGGATAGGAAGGCAACATAGGGCAGCTGATGGTTCCGATATTGAAGGGTTTCGTTTGTACTTCGGGTCCGATTTGGTGATGTGATCGCCCAGGTCATCATGAAGTGTTTGGGAAGCCACGGGGCTACAGACTTTGACGATATCATCGGCTTCAAGTTTTATCAGGGCTGGTGGGTCAATGGCGAGCCTCTGATGCCATGCATGGCACCAGCCAAAGGCCGGTCTGACAGTGCTGCTTCTAATATGTGCACCGAAGACCGAAACTTGAGCTGAAAGTGACGTTGTGGATCCGCAATGTCGTTATTACTTTTGCCAATTGGGTGGTTCTAAGGCCTTTTTTTGTCGGTAGCGCTGTTCCGCGGAAAGGTGTGCAGGCCAAGAACTTCGCGGGTTTCAGCCTTGCCCCAGGCGGCTTGTCAAGTGATGCCGGTTCAGTTTTGATGAGTCTCGCCAGGGTTCGATGAACTAGGTTATGTCGGTTGTTTGCCGAGGCTATGCCGGGCAGATCATCACCAACAGATACTTCATCGACCACCCGGAGAAGTTCTTAGGCAATTGCTCATACAGTCGACGTTTCCTTGCCACAACGGTAACCACCACAAGCCGCACCGCCACCACGATGGCTTGTACGAAGCTGCAGCTGATGTTGCCGCTGCTGCTGGGGCTGCTGCTCCTACTACTACTGCTACTACTACTACTACTACTGCTACTACTACTACTACTACTACTACTACGACGGCCCCGCAGTGCTGACCTGGTCGTGCCAAGTGGGTGACAAAAACTACTACTACTACTACTACTACTACTACTGCTACTACTAGTACTGCTGCTACTGCTACTACTGCTGCTACTACTACTGCTGCTGCTACTACTACTACTACTGCTGCTACTGCTGCTGCCACTGCTACTGCTACTATTACTACTACTATTTCTGCTACTATTTCTACGACTACGACTACTACTACTACTACTACTACTACTACTACTAGTTCGACTACTGTTTTCTACTCCTGCTATTGCTGCTGCTGCTGCTACTACTACTACTACTACTCCTGCTGCTGCTGCTGCTGCTGCTGTTGCTGCTGTTGCTATTACAGCTACAACTACCACTTCTTGTTCTGCTAGTGCAACTGCAACAACTGCAACAACAGCAGCAACAACACCAACATGACACTTGTTTCTGTACGATCTACGAGTTCTAGTTGCTTTCTGGACATGTGTGTGTACGTCCGTGTGTGTACGTATGGACTTGATCAGCTATGCATTTATGCATGCATGCAGTCTGTATGAACGAATATATGTATGTGTGCATGTATGTACGTACGCGTGTCTGCATGCCTTAGTTGTTTTGTTCTGTCACAGTATGTATCTGTATGTCAATGTATGTAATAAGGTATGTATGCATGTACTACTGTATGTAATGGTTTCGTTTGTATATGTATGTATATGTTAAGTACAGACGTAAGCGGGCTCTGACCATCTCTGACCCAGCTGTCGTGCATTCACGTTTCAGCGGTCAAGGAACGTATGCATGAATGAACGAATGGTTGAAAACATGAATACATGTGTGTCCGTCCCTGTCGGTCTGTCGGTCTGTCTGCCTGCCTGGCTGTCTGTCTGTCTGTCCGTCTGTCTGTCTCTCTGCCTGTCTGTCTGTCTGTCTGTCTGTCTGTCTGTCTGTCTGTCTGTCTGTCTGTCTACTTCTGCATTGCGTCTCGATTCATCTCAAAAGCCGTGAACACTGCAGCCTGCATGAAGCTATCTCATCTCCATCGCGTGCTTCAATGACACCTTTGCCACAACCTGCAGCAGCCCCTGCATTTCTGGTTCTATCTTACTTACCTGCTTATTGTCGCTCGTGGCAGAGGTCCCTAGGGTAATTAGTCTTAGACAGACAAAAAGACACGGTAAGCACACGTGCATACATCAATACATACATACTGTGTATATATGTATATATATATATGTACATACCTACGTACCTTGATACATACGAGCGTATGTACGTACTTACCTTTCTGTCTCTCTCTATGCATATATATATATATATATCTACACCGGTATTACAAGCGCACATACCTGTTCTGAATTTTGAACGTGGAAGGTGTGCGTGACTGGCTGCCCAAGCAGAACCGAGATGAGCACTACGAGCCCCTGCCTGAAATGTTGAGTCCGCAAGCCAGATTCTCTCGGAGATCTAGGCAACCTGCATATAACTGCAGGTGCAACTACATCTACAAGGGCGCCCATGTTCTGGCAACCATGGTTATTTTGCAGGCACGGCTCACTGCTCCGCACAACTTCAGGGCTTTCGCTGCTAAGATGCCTGCCAGACTCAATTCCCGGACCTTGCCGGAGAGTTGGCTGAAGCTGACAAGCTCAAGGCCGTTGCAAGGTGGTGCAAGTCATTGGTGTAGTCAGACTTGCTCATGGACTTGCATCACGACAGGCATACAAGCACATCAAGGCTCATCCTTTAGAAAAGCACCTCGACGAGTGCCTCGCGGAATGGAAGATGTACATCAAAATGATGAAGGCATGCTAATGTGGGCCAACTCGAACCATGTGGATGAGTGTGTTACATTGACGTCTTCGCACTCCTCATGCCTCCGCACCAGCAGGATCACGGACAGATTCCTGCAGACGCCGAGGAAGTGGAATATCCATACACCAAGGCCGCCGGCTTGTGAGCAGCCTTGGGGTATCGCAGGATGGCCTCGCAAGCAAAACGGCAAGCCCATAATCCCTGAACAGACCACGCCTCTGAAGCTTTTCGGGCCATGCGCACCTCGGGAATTGCACAGGAGAACCTCCTGGAGCTGGACCAGAGATGCCAGGAGGCACTAAAGGCCGAATGGGAGAAGATGATGGCCAAAAAGGCCAAGGCCAGGCTCTTGAGAGGGTTATCTATCATAGGTTATTACGTGACATCATATCACAGCAATCGCAGAAGTGCATAGTATGCAATATACTATAGTTTTAATAGACTAGACTTCAATAGGATGGCAAGTACCATAAATATCGTATCATATGATCTCATATTACACAGTACGGTACAGTATAATATCATATTGCAGGTTACATGATATAGGAATATTCTAGTGCCTGCGCCCGCGGGCGCGCACAGGTCTGGAGCAAGGCCACGCCCCCCCCCCCCTTCCGCCGAACCCCGCTGATTCCGATGCTGATGATGCGCGCCCTTTGTGGGCTTCCGCAACCCATTCAAAAATTGGCAAAACATTGCCTCGCGCTGCAGGGCCGGTTGGGCGCGCTCCGAGTGCTCATGATGCTACCTGCCATAGCCAGCGGAGTGGCTGCGAAACGCGTGCGTGTTCCGAAAAGGCCTCCGTGCGAGGTCCCTTTCGGCCCCCGATGAAGCAGGGTCGGCAGCACTGCTGGTCGCGCCTTTTGCTAAAGCAAAGCTTGCAAGCTACACCTCGGCTAAGCCTCGGGATGCCGCCGACGGCAAGCGGCGCCTAGCATGTAAACCCCATGTAGCTCGAGAATCACACATAGTTGCCTTGCAGACTGCATGTGCGTAGGATAGGGATCGGGGAGGTAGGGGTATAGGAGTAACAGCCGGAGGGCCCAGGGAGGGAGTAGGGGAGAGGGGCAGGGGCACAGGCGGGTTGGAGGGGACGACAAGCTGGGAGTGGGGGTGGTGCGGTCAGGGGTGGTAGGGGTATGGGAGTGAGAGCGACAGGGCACAGTCGCGGACCTTTTTGGAGAATAAGGCTTGCGTCATTTCAAGCTTCATAAAAAAGAAGAAACTAGTTTTTGAGGGGGGTGAAAGGTGGTACGGGGTGTGTAGAGACACGGCGGTAGAGCGAAAGCTGAGGGGGACGTGCCCGAAGGCTAGAGGGGGGCTTTGGGGAGGGGGAGGGGATGGGGATGGGGGAGGGGATGCGGATAACAAGCCGAGGCGGTAAGCATGCCGGTACGACAGATTGATTTGCGACGCCCGGTCAGCCCGAAAGGACCAGCGTACCGTTTGAAACGTACTCTGGTCTTTCAGCTGTCTCAGTTCGCTTATCGTGCAAGCGCACGATGGACGGTACAGGATCCTCGCCGACAGAAGGCGAGAGGGAAAGACGGGCATAAAAGCCGAAAAAGGCCAAGACCCCCGAAACTGTGAAGTGATCGGCCAACTTTCAAACCAGTGGCATATGCAGCGCCATGCACGAGTTTGCCAGCAGCTTTTGGGAAGCCTTGGTTTTGCATTGCAGGCCGGAAAGTGAGGCTGAGGGCCAACTGATGATGGCAGCATTCCTGGCGCTCTATGTCTGAGATGGTTATGCTGCCGTCCGGTTGGATGCCGTAATTTTGCTGATGCCTGGCTCTGTCAGAACAGCGATTCCAACCTGTAAGAGAGGAGAGAGTGCTCGTGTTGGTCGTTGTTCACGTGCAGTTCACAAAGTGTGTGATTTCAGTGCATGCCTTCTTGTGCCACAAGTTGGAGGAAGCCAACTAAGGATGCACGAGCGGTGTGCTTGTGCCGGCTCTTGCCCAGAAGAGGAACATGAAATTTTCGGACTCTGTGAAAGTCAGCGTCCGATCCACAATAGTAGTTTAACTCAGTGTTAGCGTTTACCGAACCAGCCCTGGCAGTGTTTTGTCCTAGCGGCGAGGTTTTGTGACAGGATCTGGCAGGTCACTCAGCCTTCCAATGCAACCGGAGAGAATGCAATGTCGAGACATGTGACTGCTGCCTGCCTGCTCACAGTCGATGCTACGTAGGATGAGTGTAGAACGATTGTTTTCCCCGTTGCATGAAACCATGGAGCCTGGTTGCGTACGGACCGAGAGCTCCGGCTAATTCCACTGTGAGCTGAGCTGCACGACTCGTCGCTCACTGTGAAGGCGGTGTGGCATCAAAAGAGTTTACACAGGAGTCTAACACGGATCAGCTTGCAACGGGTTCGGCAAATGGCGGGTCTGCATTGAATTGCATTGAAGGGTTCGATGAGTTCTGTTGACAGTTGCTGCGTCTTTACAAGTATAGGCTGAAAGACGGAATTGCAAAGGGAGCTGCTAAATGCAAGTGATGCGTGGCCTGGCACCTACCATTGTTCGACGTGCCAGCTCGTACCTCTGCTATGTAATGCCTTATTTCCTTGAGGTACCGACAACAGGCCATGATGAAGGATGTCTCGCTTGCACGAGCTCTGCAGCTGCCTGGTCCTTTCAAGATTCCAGGGACCAGGTGATGGCTTTGCGACACAATAGCATCCTTTGTTCTCGGAGGTGCACTGGGGAAAGACAGTATTGGTTTTTGTTTCCGAGAGCTGATGTGCAGCCAATTTCCTGTCCTACAGGTGTGCATTTTGGGCATTCTCTCAGCCAATCTTACAACGTCGGATGCGCAAAGCCTTGTCCTTCAAAACGCACTTGGCGGAGGCCTGACCGGCAAGTGCGGCAAGTGTTGGAAAGAAGGCGTGGCTTCTGCTGAATCTTGATTCCCTGGGGTGCTCAGATACGCTAGCCTGCTGCAGCTGGCAGCTGCAATTGACATATTGCCACTCGATGGGTGTCTAGAAGCTCAAACCTAGCCTAGGCTCGGACAACGGTCATGCTGAAAGGGAGTGGCTCCACTTTCCAGCAGGCTGGTCCCTGACTGCATCGTTGACAAATGCTCCGAAGGGACAGGCCGGGATGTGCATGCGTCATGATTCGCCCAACTTGACCGGAGGCCTGCTCTGTGAACTGAAACAACGCATCGGTTTGGTTGATCTGACCGTGCTGCAGCAGGCAATCGTATGTAGTTCTCCTTGAATCTGCTTCTGCGTGCTCAGATTCCTTTATCTGCTTGACCTGGGTGATGAGAGCAGCTGCCATGTTGCATGCCAGGGGAGAAACTCCAGGCATTCTATCGCATATCGCCGGTTGCCGTTGCAGTGGCAGCCCAAAGGCGAGCCGGGAGCTGCAGCGCCTCAGCAAGGGATGCGTCCTCACACGCGCAACCGAAAGATGTCTGTGCGTCTGCAAGCTTCGTCTGTAGCAGCTTCCCACTTCATGCTTTCTACGATACGTCCCGCAATCCAGACATGTCCAGGCAGTTCATCTCGCCAGGTTTCAGCTTCTGGAGATGTCCTTGTCTGCACAAACTCAAGAGCAGCTGCAGGGCAGCAGTAAGACTCAGTAAGAGCTATGAGAAGGGCTTTGCGGCGGGGGTCTTTTCTGTGAGCTGCTCTGGCAGAATCGTAGTGGGGCTCTTTGACAGTCACTGCCTGGCATACCGAAACTGAAAAGTGAATGCATCGAGGTATGTTTGCAAGGAGCCTTGCCCTCAGTCGGTCTGACCACCCTCCAACCATGTGATGATGCGAAGCGGCCTTGGGATTCGTTTCTACTTGAGGTGCAACCGGGTGTATGACACGATGCAGGTGTGCCAGCGATTTCTTGACCGACTCGATCTTTTGGGCTTTTTGCCGTTTCCCGGTGATAAGTAAGTAAGCAAGCAATCAAGTAAGCAAGTAAGTAAGCGAGAAAGTAAGTAAGTAAGTCCGTGTGCGTGTGCGCTTGCTTGTGTGAGAGCCTGTCAGGCGATGTCAACATCCTTCTCGTGTGAGTGCGGCCAGGCCCAGTCGTTTTGGCACCGATGTCTCAAACCCACGACTGCACAGCTCGGCGGTTTCTTCAATCAGTTGCATTCTTAGTGCAGGGGCGTTGTTACTCGTTGAACCACCACCACCATCACAACGACTGCTGCCCCTACTAACCCTACTGCCACTTGCTGGATCGGATCCTGCACAACCCGATTCAATGGAGACAAGTTGTACCAGATGCTACCAAGGTTCCAAGCCTGTGCTACATCTTGTACCGGGTTGCACCATTGTACGGGCAGCGAAAGCTAGTAAAGGTATTCGGTGTGTGCAGAGCTTGCGTATGACAGGATCCATAGTACCCGAAACCATATACGTTTGCGGGGTGTGGTTTGTACGGGGTGCATCCTAGCCTTGTAACATGTATACCACTTGCCTGCATCTAGATGTGATTTACGAATTGGACTTGTTGGAACAGGTGGTGGTGGATGTGATTGCATGTGTGACGATATAGTGCAAACATGCGTGCATACATGCACGCATACGTGACATGCCTGCATACATGCATACATATGTACATAGACTGGGCTTGCTGCAAATGCTCAGAGGCACAACACAACACGAGGGGACACACAAGTGCCTTGCACAGCAGCGCCTGTGCGCACAGACAACAAACAGCGTGACCCCTTCATTGGATCCGCCTGAGATTCTTCTCACCCACCATGCTCTTCAAAACTTCCTGACTGGTAGTTCATAGCGTGATAATGCACCAGCAAAACACTCCAGAACTCTGGCAACACAGGAATCGTAGGCGGACGAAAGACATCAAAAGACCAGATGCGGGGGGCGGGGGCCAAAAGTGGCTGAATTCCAGAAAACGCAGGCGGCTCTGTGGCGCGAGCATCTTCGGAAGACTCCACCCCAATATCGCTATCGCGGCGTTCATAGCATTAGACCGAAGAGCCCGTGAGGCCGAATAGTGCGGCCGTGCTACCCCTGTCGAGTCGAGTCTCGGAGCGATTTGAAGGCAAGAATGCGAGCTTCACTATCGCAGGAATCGATGACTTGACGCGACCCCGATGTTGTCGCGAATTGTGCAACACGCCACAGAGGGACACCGGCTTCAAATTTCGCAATGCGATGGATCATACGGCATTGTGACAACAAGGTACACGAGGTACAATCAAGACGAGTGGAATTCCCAGCTAAGCCGAGTATGTTTGTCGGGCTTGATCTGTTCCTGTCGGTCAGGACTGATGGACTTGAGCATGGCGATATGGAATGTCAGAAAACTAGGGTGCCTGATTTGGGGCTCTTTACTTGGGTCCCTTCATCTTATGCAGCCACCATGACCACCCTGAACCGAGCAAGATGAAAGAGAAGTGAGTAAGAGGATGCTAGGGTTATCGGAGGATGGATGCCAGGCTTTGGCCTCCACGGCAGAGGAGTCAGAGGCACGACGAGACCGGCTCCACCGCAGCCACCTCGGGGGCTTCAATTCTGGATGCTGTCGGCTGTCGGTGGATATTTGTCAAGAGAGGGGCATTCGATTCACTTTGTGTTGCCTGAAGGCTCGAAGAGTGCAATTTGCTTTCAGGCTACAAATCCACTGCAAACATGGTCCGCTCGCGCTCCGTCACTGGTGCCGTCGTGACTGCCTTCGGCTTGGCCTTCGTAGCGTGTCGGCTTGGCGGTGCCTTCGTGGGCTCCTCCCCCCAGCTGAGGGGAGGCTCCCAAGTTGCACGGCGAGTGGGAGTTGACTATCTCCTGCGCAATGGCCCGAAGGATGCCGACCCTCCCTTGATGGACCCAAACACTGCCTCCGGTGCCACCCACGAGATCGAGTTCAAGAAGTGCCCTGTTGGCATGCGTAGAGGGCGTAGCCACAGGTCACTACGCAGCAGGCACCCATGCCACATACCGGAGCTTGACTTTGTAGGTGACGTGTGCGAGAGTCAAGCCTGAGTTGTCATTGTCAAGTGTGCACATGATCACACATCCATGTCCACATGCACAGTCCGAGCTGCCCAGCCACGAAGGAAGCCTTTCGGAATCCTCCGCTACGCACCTGGACCAAGCGGCAACGGTGCTGTGGTCCGTGAGGCATCATGCAGCATCGCTCCTGCAGTGGCAGGATGTGTGCACTGTTGTGTGTGGGAGGGGCTTTGCTAGCGGCTCGTTATCCGGGAGGTGAAGCAGGAGTCCCGCTACCCGGGCGACCCGCAGGGCCAGGCTTTCGTGGCCGGCGTTCAGCCGGGTGGCTGGGCGGAAGCTGCAGCGTAGCAGGACGTAGCAGGGCCTGTAATGCTTCAGACACCGAGTTCCAAAGCGAACGAAGCGCGCAGGCATGTCGAGTGCATGCCAGCTGGACATCACCATTCGCCCACCAGTGGGTGGGCACACAGGGGCCGAAGGGCTTCTTCAGCAGGAAATGTATGTACCCCATCCCCCCCATCCGTTGGCTGAAACATTGGTGTAACCGATGAAGGGGGCCCTGCCGGCCGCAGAGTAGTTGGTCACGAATTGTTGAAAATGCAAGGTTGGGTCGTGGCTTCCGTGAACGGCCAGGATGCGAAGAACATCAAGCACCTTAGCCTTAGCCAGGAATCACCAAGTAGTTCCTAAGTAGTTTAGGCTAGGACTCCGACAATGCAAACATCGACTTCGTAATGTTGCTCAGTCTCGTGTTATGCTTACATGTTTTGAGCACTCACCTATGCACATCGGTGTCGACTTCCAACCGTGCCCTCGGGACAACGGCAGGAAGTGTAGGAAGGGTTTCTTTCCAGGTTCGAAGACCTCATGGAGTTCATGGATGACGAGGTGCTGGACCCTGTGGCAGCCCTGTCCCTGAACTTGAAGGACCGCCCGGGTCGCAGCATGCCTCAACTTCTGTATGCGTAGGTGGCTTCAGTCAGGAGAACGGCGTCTCCTCCGAAGGTAAGGGCATCGGCGAGAGCACTTTCACTTTCGGTGGTGGCAACCTCGCGCCGCTGCCCATCAAGGTGGTGTACCAGGCATGGGAATGTTAATACTGCTCCCGAGATGCCCACATGCAGAGTCTGCAGGAGCCGTGAGCAAGGAATACTTGGACGCATGAGTTGAGCCTCTGTAACAAGCTTGAAGGAGCACTCTTTCTTCTCCGTTTCCAACCCACGAGTGGCATCTGCAAACTGTTTTAGTATGAACGCCAGGTCACGATCGATGAGTTATCTTGCGTCTAGTTGTAGCATGTTGCGCTTTCATCAGCAGGTAGGGCTACTTCAAGAGCAGGCAACCGGGGCGTTCATCACTTGGATGGTAATTGCAAAGGGACAGTTAGCTCCCGAGACCCACGCTGGCGCTTGAAGACAAAAGCACTTCACAAGCGCTGGAGCTGAGCTGACACTTGGTCACCCAAACCCCCTGCAATCCCAAGGCTTCCACGTGCAATGCAAGGAGTTGCTGAAGCTGCCCGGGCCTTGGCTGTGACAGAACTATGTAGCAGCATTTGCACACTTCCGCATCGCGCCCCTTCATAATGGACACATGTGCTCCTCGCCACAACCAAGGACACAAGAGCTTGAGAATCTGCCAGGACCACAATTTGGGCACCCACCCAAGGCGGGCGGAATTCCATTATGAACTCTTGGGGTGAAGCTCCAGCTCCTCTGGATTTTCAGTCTCTGCAGGTGAAGAAGCCACGTGGAGCAGCAAAGCAATCTGCCAAGGAGACTATCCCGGGCACATGCCGCTATGCTTTCGGAAAGTGGTGGCAAACCAATGCAACAAAGCATCCGTGCGAGAACAGCGGGCCTCCATGCGAACTGAGCGGCTGGCGTGTCCAGGCGAAGGCTGCGGCGTCTGAGCAAAGGCTGCCGGGAAGGGGGTCCAGGGTTTAGGGTTTAGGGGGATGCTGAAAGGGGGAGTATCGCTCAACCTATGGGATGTCTGAGCCCTGAGCTTTGTTGTCAACGGTAGGTCTACGCAATGGTGCTTTGCATATCTTCTTATGTTGGACAATGACAACGCATTAGACATACTTGTAACCTACAAGTTGTTTTTGCAACTGCCCTGTTCGCATTTATGAGTCTGCTCTCGAACTTGTGCCAGAATTGACACGAGTCACCAGACCCAATCAAGCAGGCCAGCACCTGCTGACGACATCCGGGCGAACCAGATGCAGGCCACCCTACTCGTAGACTGGTGAGAATGCTATCTGATGCTGTGGAACTTGTGCCAGTTGCCCCATCAACCTGGGATGCCAGGTTGACATCGCCTCCACCTTGGAATCGAAGGCAGGATGAAGGCTGTAGCTTGGAGATGTTCACACACCTCGCGACTTGTTCGGGCTTCCTGGTTTGGTGACCCGTTGCTCGAAGACCCAGCGAGAAGAGAGCTAGCAGCTAGAACACTGCGGAAAGCTGCAGCAGATGCGAAGCTTAGACGTCCTGTCCTACCGGTATATCCTCTGGCGTCAGAAATCCATACCGGCTATAGCGCTTTCGTTGGCAGAACATTTTCACAAGCAAGTTGCTGCCAGGACTCGGAAGATGCCGCAGACTCAGAAGGGTATTCAGTGGCACACTGGTCACTGGCCACGCCTAGCTCGGAATCTGGTGCAGTGGCCGGTTGGTGTGCTGCTCACGCATCATGCTCTGTATGTCCCCTGTTCCGCAGCAGCGTATGATGGCGCAGTTGGAAAGCCTTTGCGAGGCGCAGGTGCCGCCAGCAGACACTGTGCCAGCTCTCAGCGCAGAGCAGGAGGGGCGCGCGTCTGTTGGCGCCCGTCGAATGTGCAAGGTCGATCCGAGAGAGCTCGAAGCTCCGTCGGTACTGTGGCTGTTAAAGACTTGGTTTGTGGTGCCATTAGTGCTCCCCCCCCTGGCCTCCCCTCCCCTCCTCTCTCCCTCTCCCTCCCTCCTCCCTCCCTCCCTCCATGCATCTAAGCATGCATGCACGCAGCATCTTACCTGTCCGCACGGGCCGAACTGTTCGTCACCCCACGGCGTGAACAACTCAGACAAGGTCTCTACTTATGACTCTTTCTTTCAGACGAGGCCTCTTACCGCACCTTCTTCTCGCACGTTCCCGGTCATTCACGGTGATGCTACGAAGACTCAGTGAGACTTGTTTTGATGCTTCGTATCTGGGCCTCCTAGTGGAGTTCTTCGTCACCTGTTGCCCTGGCGGAGAATCAGGCCCAACCTGCACCTCGCTCTGTCTGGGGACACTGTGGGGACGACCTTCCAGGGATTCGTTGTTTGGGAGCTGGCGGTGAAGTGTGGTTGTTCAGCCCATACTCGCGAAGACGAGCTTAGTCTTCACCCCCATTGTCCGGAGCTTTGCACAAACCCAAATGCATGCATGCATGGCATGTAACCTATATGCAGGTCGGCATGACGATGGTGAGGATGAGGGCTATCGTGCAGATGCTCATGATGATGCTGCTGCTGCTGCTGCTTCCGGCTGCTCTAAACTGTTGCTGACATGGGGCAAGGTGCAGTGCAACCTTCGTACAGGCAGGAGCTCTTTAAGACACCGGAAACGGAACTTAGCACTGTCCTCACCTGATGATGCTGATGCTGCTGCTGCTGCTGACACGAGGATGATGATGGCGATGATGATGACATTGGAGGGTGATGACGATGACGAAGCATTTTCTCGCCCAGCACTCGAAGTGTTGCTGAAGCGAAGCAAGAAGCAGTTCTTGCAAGCAGGAGATCTCCAAGACGGTGGAGGAAGAAGTTGGCACGGTCCTTACAGAATCTCTTGAACGCTCCTGAATTGCAGATTCCTGCAGCGTATACATCTCTGCAAGGCAGGTGTAAAACGGTTGCTATGCATGATATAGCTGCCTGTCGAGTTTCGGCCTGGCAAGCATACGTTTGCTTGTTCCACAGACTCGAGGTGCCCATAACCAGAGCACGCGGACATCGCTGGAGGTCAGCCAGCTGTAGTCCGCTGCTTTATCGAAGAGCGAGGGTGCTTGGAGTTGAGCGTTTCCTTACCGGACGTGGGATGCAGCGTTTCAAATTTGGGGGCGGGCTTGCCACAGTCCCGTGAAGTGGAGTGCCAGCATCATTGGAGTCGGAGATGGTATGCCTGGAGTCCATGAGGCTCGAGCACACCTGAGTCACAAGAGTCCATGAAGTTTCGATTATCGAAGCCCGGCAGTCAGGGAGTCGTCAAAGCTATCGGCCGCCAGGCCCGTCTCCGCGGGACTCAGCGAAGCCAACCTCAAGAGGTTCATGCCGCGCGTCCAAATATTAGAATACCCAAGTAGATGTTCATGTAGCCTGAATGACCGTGCCAGCCAGGTCTCCTTATGCCGAGCTGCCAGTGATCAGACTTTCAGCCTTGTCAGGAAGATCCGATTGTTGTCGTTCGTGGGGAGCCGCTTCCTCTCTCGCGCGTCCTTGCCGACGATGATCTCCAGGCTTTGTTGCGTGCAGACCAGTCTAGAAATAATTTGGGCTAGCTTGGACCAGGCTAGGGTACTGATGAGCCTCGTCGACTCCGAAGAACCACTTGCCGATTTGCAGATTCTAGAGTGTGGGACTATTTCCGCTTTAGACATTGCACTGGGCTTTGCTGCGGCTCGGCCGAGCAGGAGCAGATGACGGACCAAGAGTACCAGAGGCAGACAGACTACCACATGGAAGTATACTAGCATGCCGCATGCTAGCATGCGGATTTCGTGGTGCTTGCAGCATCCGCAGAGTTAATGGCCGCTGTCGTCTTTGCAGTTTCTACGACGTCGACCGGAATCTGCAGCACCGAAAGTTGCGGAGCCTCTTGTCGTAGCAGGCGGGCCGCCACCTCCCTCGATTAGCAGACATCGTTGCACCGCTTAGCCAATCGCAGCCAGTCGAACCCCACACACGCCATGTTGCGTACCCTCAGCCTCCAAAGGCGGGTGGGAAAAAAACTTTGCTAGCTTTCCCTTAACTGCAGATGGCTCGAGACCGGAGGGTTTAGGCCAATCCTGCGGTGGATTGTGCCCGGATCCTGGTCTCCAGCCCCTTGGCCTGCGCTGCGTTGGTGAGAGAAACACAACACTTCCTTGCATTTTCCATCGTGGTTCTAAGGCCACCCGCTTAAGGTTGGCTCGGACCTGCAGTGCAACGCAGGTGGAGCGCTTGAGCATCTTGGCTGACAAGATTAGTCAGGATTTCGCGGTCCCTTTTTCTGAAACTCCGCTACGTGCAGCTTCCTGTGACCTTCTGCTTCTGTTGCCAAATAGACGGTATCAAGGGACCGTGTAGATTCGGAGCAGCAGAGGCAGGAGTCATTGGACTTTGTGCACTACTGCCAGTGACTAATGTTCTGCTGTTTGAGTAACCTGCTGATCCATTATCATGCTACGGCAGCTGTGACTTCATTTCTTGACCTTGTCTCGGGGCCGGTGAGGCAATCACGATTGCACTCAAGCGCCGAGATTCCGTGCTGCTCGGCTCCCGCTCACAAATTCTCATTCCAGTGCAGCCCGTATTTTCAAAACCTTCGACGGTTCTCTTGACCTGTGTGTAGCCTTGGCCAGCTGTAGATTCAGGCCAGAATTTGGCTCCCTGAGCCCGCAATGAAGCACGTGGCCAGCCTGACAGGCCAAACCCAAGCAGCTCAAATTTACAAGTCTTGTGTGCTTGGACTTCGCGGGTGCATCCTGGAAGCTTCATGCCAAGAGGTTCGCGACAATTTCATAGCATGTGCAGTCCGCCCTTCTCTTCATGCAAACTTTCCATGGGCAGGGTTGGCCATTGTCCTGGCTGCCGTGCCAGCTGGGGCTCTGAAGGCCTGTCTCGGAGTTGGGCTGCGAAGCCAACTGGCCCCACACATCCAATTCAGGCCTATCAAACGACTGGCCTCCAATCGCTGGACTCCGTCCTTGGGTCTCTGCAGCAGCGGCTCAGTGCTGGAAGGCCACCTTGCGGAGACTTTCGATCAAGTTCCGCACCGCGTGCAAAAAACATCACTGTGTGAATAATCCAGTCAACGTCGTCAACATGTCAGGACCCAACTGGACGATGTCGAAGATCTTACAGACATGGCGAGGCAGCTTGTCTCAAGGCTTCAAGGGTACCAGAAAATGCCCCCGTATTTACAGAGTCTTTTGGATGTCATTGGCAAATCTGTAATCTGAGAGCCGGTGCCAGTAGGACAGAGAACTGTGCAGCTGTGCCAAGGAATGCCGCACCGGAGAGCTTTGCACCCGTGCTGGCAAACATGGGAAAGTACACCCAGCGTTGCACGGCGACAATTGGTGAGTCAAAGCTGGGGCAGTGATGGGCAGTGGTATCGCCACTTGATGCAGCATCTGCAGCATCTCCGTTGAAGTTGAAGACGGAGTTCCCACATACCGTTGAGAGAGGCACCGGTATACACATTTACAGTCACCTGCATGATAAATTGTTGTATCGGCCTGCTTCGTCGCGTGCCTGCCTGTACTTTTGTTTGCTTCAAGCTGTGAGGTCCGAATACGGTAGCCATTGTCCCAGTTGTGACCTGCCCTGGAGCTATTCTCTGGCGTATTGTCCGTGTGCATCATCTCAGCAAGACCTGCAATACCTACCGCTCTAGATACATGACGAATGACGGCCGGCTTTACGCGCTTGGGGTCAGCAACTAGTACCGGCGTTGCTCGAAATTCGTGGTACTAGTGCTGATAGTCCGTGTGCCTAGATAGTGCTGTTAGTTGTTATCGTGATGGACATTATCACAACCTGACGACGGGTTTACCACTGGCAATAGTCCATGTGCTTTTCTGTTCGCTCCCCCCCCACCCCAAGGCTGTCCTTCGACCTCTGCCAAGGCTGGCGGGAAGACCTCGCAGCCGAGAAAGAAGCTGCGGCTGCTTGGCTGCGTTACTCAGACTCGGGTTCAACGCTCTGCAGAGCGACATCGGCTGGTATATAGCTCATGAGTGATTCAGGATAGCTGCCACGTATTCGAACTGCTGCACATCGCTTAACCTAATGTTCTTGGCTGTTCTGGGCGGGTGGGAAAAATGTTCTTGGCTTGCATTTACTCCGTATGGGTTTGATTTGGCTTATTTTGGAGACTTGAACCCGTAAGCTTGCCTGGATAGGAGCCTTTGTGCTGCCGGGCTGCTACTGCAGAGCAATGGGTGGTCGTTGTCGGAACACTTCGGAACATCATTTGGCCACTTCGGTTGCTAGGTATGTGTAAAGCTAATCAGGCAGCTGTCGGGTTGCCAAGCTTGACCATCGGGTTGTTGACTTTGGGCTGGGACATGGAGACACTCCTTATGTGTGTGTATACATGCATGAACACACATGTATATATGTACGTACGTATGTGCATGCATGCATGCATGCATGCATGCACGTATGTATGTATGCATGTATGTATAAATTTTTGTATGTATGTATGTATGTATGTACGTATGTATGTGTATGTATGTGTGTGTGTATGTATGTATGCATGTGTACATATATATATATATGCGTATCAATCTCTTTGGTCACCCGCCCGGATCTAAGCTTGCAGGCTGTATGCCATCTCATGCTTATTTACACATACGTGTACACTGGTCATAAGTAGTAAATAGCGATAGAATCGCTTTTTATCCTCGAGTACATAGAACCGTGCTGCTACGCATCTTGCTTCGATACAGCGAAAATCTGCAGCCGATTTTCGGCCAACAAAAACAACACTTCGTGTCTTCGGAAAGCCGAAACTGTTGGAAGGCATTGCACGTAATTTGCCGTGGTATTCAAAGACCTCGTGTTTTGTGCATTTTCTTTCTGTTGTGAAGCGACGCTATTAAACGGCGGCTCCTGCTTTTCCCTATTTAAATCGTTATTCAGGGTATTGCAGGGTATTCTACAGGGTATCCTAAAAGGTATTCCAGAGGATATTCTATGAGCGGTATATTACATAGGCGGTCTTCTGTAAGGCATTTGACTACGGGGTCTTCCAGATGGTATTTCATACGGCATTCTATAATTCTACAAGTTAATCTATAGGGTACTCCATAAGGTATTGTACAAAAGGTATTCTGTAGTTTTCCTTTAGGGTATATTCTACATGGTACTACCTGGGGTATTCTATATGAAATTCTTGAAGGTAGAAAGAGGGGGTATTCTATAAGGTATATTAAAGGCTAACTATTCTTCTACTAGCAGGTTCCTGATTTCCTTCATGCTGGTAAGAATCCTTGCTCAATAAGCTACCACTCAATTGGAAATTGTCCATGGCTTCGTGTACTGTCAGAGATCAGTAGGCTTGGAGTCAAACTTGATTGCATACAGCTGCGCACTCAATACATGTTCCTTTTCACGAGACCCTTTGATAAGCACTCATTACAACTTCGACTGGAGGCGAACTGAGCGGACCATGCGGTTTGCTTTAGGCACGAGCCCCGAAACCGATTGATGTTCATGATGCTCGCTCTGGCCGCGGCTGACGCTCGTGCTTGTACATGCCTCAGGTTTCCAGATTTCCAGATAGACAGGCATCATGACTCAAGATTTCCAGATTGACAGGCCCCAAGATTCCAGAATTCCAGATTTGCATGCCCCAAGTTTCTAGAGATTCCAGATTTCCCGATTACGCCCTAAGTTTCCAGATTCCCGAGTTGCTAACTAACACAGTTAGCAGTGTCCAGGTTTCCAAACTTCTGGAAATCTGGAATTGAATCTGGAAACGTAGAGCGTGCAAACCTGGAAATTTGGAATCTGGAATCTCTAGAAACTTAGGGCGTGCAAATCTGGAA